ACACTTTAAAGTCAGTGTGACTGTGATTTAGGCCCTCTTTGAGGTCCCTTTACGCTACCAAAATGGTTCAAAGAGGCCCCAGTGTAAATGAGAATCAGGCCCTCAATAATGTATTACTTGTATTGCAGTAGTGCCTAGAGGCCCCAGTAAGTGGGAGGAAGGGTGGCCTGGTGGTTACGGCTCTAGATTGAGGCTCTAGAAAGGTGGGGTCAAGTCCCAGACATTTTTGCAACCTCAGGCAAACCTTGGTGCCTCAGTTCCCCATCTCTAAAAAGGGGATAACAACTCTCCTCGGCCTTATAGCAGTGTTGTAAGGCTGGGATGGGCTGGCACTAGACTGGAATTCAGGAGAGATGCCTTTAGATCTCAGCGCTGCCACAGATTTAAAACTAAATCAATGTTACTGGTTCCTTCTTAGCACAGTTATCAGCATGTCCGTCTCAGATGCAGAAGGCTCTGAGGGCGAGCCTCAGCCCGGGCAGCATTGTTACAGAAAGGAACAAATATTTTGGTAATGGGCTCTTCCGACTAGCAGAGAAAGGTCCAATATGATCCAAAGGTTGGAAGTTGAAGCCGGACAAATTCAGACTGGAAATAAAGTGCACAATGTTGGGTAATTAACCACTGGAATGGCTTGACCCAGGCTCACGGGGGATTCTCCATCCCTGGCAATTTGAAATCAGGATTGGATCTTTTTCGAAAAGATGGAATTATTTTATGGAAGTTCTCTGGCCGGTGTTACACAGCAGGTCAGACTAGATCGGAGGTCCCCAAACTGTGCGGCAGGGATGGAAGAATATTGGGGGGAGCGGCGGGGCCCGGGCCAGCCCCCATGGGGGGCGGGGAGGGAGCACCACCCAGCCCCACTCCCAGCCTTGCCCCCTGGCCATGGCTCCATTCCCGGCCCCGGACCCAGACCCTCCCCTAGCTGCGGCCCCATCTTTGGCCCCCTTACCTCTGTCCGTGCCCTGCCCCCACCCCTGCAGCCACGGTCCTATTCCCGGCTCCTGGGGGGAGGCATGGACAGGAATGGGGGGGTAGGGGGGCGACTGTGAAAAGTTTGGGGACCCATGATTACAATGATGCCTTCTGGCCTTGGAATCTATGACAACAAAAATGCATGATAGCTTGTGAGGTGCTCAGAGACTGTAGTGGTGGGACCAGTTGAGAACTAAGCTGGGTGCTGGGCATTGTGGTCAGACAGCCCCTGCCCCAAAGAGCTCCCAGTTCGAAGAGACCCGCCCGACAAAGGGTGAGAGCGAGGAAGGATCACTGGGCCCGATTCTCTTTTACACGAAGGCCCCTTCGGGTCGCTCCAGCAGTGCAAGGGGCCTCGGAATGGGCAGAAATGACGTTAAGCCCTCGTTGCACTGTGTAAAGGGGACTTGGTCTAAGTCAGAACGAGGCCCCTGCTTTTTGGCGTTGCAGCCTTTGAACGCTCATTCCACAGGGGTGTCAATGGGGGGAATGGGGCCCCAGGTGCAGGGCGATGGAGAACCGAGCCCTGCGGCTCCTCTTCCGACTGTTTCCGAAATGTCTTTGCTTCCCCCCCTTGCAGGAAACGGGTATGTCAGTGCCAGAGCCTCGCCGGGTCTCCTCCCGGTCTCAAACGGCAACACCATGGGCAAGATCATCCCGGCAAAGTCGCCGCCACCGCCCTCCCACGGCACGCAGCTCGCCGCCAACAGCCGCAAGCCGGACTTACGCGTGATCACCTCGCAGGGCGCAAAGGGTTTGATGCACCATTTGGTGAGTGCCGCTGAATTCTGAGGGGGGGAGAATTCTCTCGGGGTCTGAGCTGCTGCAGCTCCCACTGGCAGTCGGCTTCCCCAGTCATAGCCCATCCTGCTGCAGCAAGGCGGGGTGTTGCCATTGGCTTGTTACTCTAGGCTGCTGCGGTATTTCCCAGTAACGGTGCATAATGCTGCAGCGGATGACAGCGCTGCCGCAGGATTATTACTCTAAAGTACTCTTAGTATTCCCCAGTAATGGCCCATAACGTTGCAGTTTACAATGGTGTTGCTATAGACTATTGCGATATTCCCCAGGAATAGCCAGGCTATGACATGACAAGCTAACAAGATTTTACTTGGTCCTGCCTCGGCGCAAGGGGCTGGACTAGATGACCTCTCGAGGTCCCTTCCAGCCCGCCATTGCTAGGATTTGACGATTCTCAGATTGTAAAGGTGGATGCCTGGCTCTGTCTTAGGGGCCTGACTCTCGTTTATACTAGGTCTGCTTTGCAGCACTCTGGTAACACAAAGAAGTTTTAAAGAAAGCGTAAATACAGTGGGCCAGATTTTCAGTTACGCCCAGGCCCCTTTAAACCCCTCATGAAGTGACCACAAAGTGTAATTTATACTCATTTTCAGGCCCCTTCGGACTGCCAGAGCGGTGTAAAGTGGCCTCCGTGTAACTGAGAATCAACCCCTGGGGGGAAAGGGGCGTTTCATGCTGAGCTTGTCTTCACTGCAAAGTAAACTCGAGTTATAACCTGAGGGTTGCCTCTCCCTTGAGTCTTGTCCACACGCACAAACCCTTAACGCAAGTGGGGTGCTATTAACTCACGCTGGCTGGCCCGTGACGGGGTATTGATTACCGCTTGAGTTAGCACATCAGCTGCTAACACATCACTGTGGTTCTGTCCACACTGCAGAAAAAAGGTGTGTGCTTCATGTGGATTAGCTAACTTGGTTTAAAATAGCAGTGAAGACATGGTAACTCAGTTTTTAACTCGGGTGAGAGCTCAAATTCAACCCCAGGCTTCCCCTGGGCTTTAATTCAAGTTAAGAACACAGCTATTTTGCAATGTAGACCTGCCCTCTGGGTACCGATAGCTCACTGGAGTGGTGTTAACTTGAGTGTAGATAACGCGAGTTAACTCTGCAGTGAAGACATAGGTATTGAGTTAGCTAACTTGGTTTTATACCCCCCCACACCTTTCTTCCCATCTTAGACAGTCCCAGTCAGAGTACTCAGAATATGTCTACACTACAGCTGCTAGACCAGCAAAGCCACAGCATTGCAGCTCTGCTCCTGGAGTGTGACATTTTTCTCAGCCCTGAGCAACATAGCTAGGTCAACCTATGTTTTTTGGTGTAGACCAGGCTTCGCATGCAGAAAGTTACCTACTCACATAAGCGTATGCGGGACTGGGGCTGAAGAGAATCAGTCTAAACTGTCTATGCAAAAAATAAAACTAAGCAAAAGATTCAGATGCACAAAAAGCCATGGAAAAGTTTGGAAAAACAAAACAATATTGGCCAGTTCAAATCCAAAATAATAGATGGGGATCACACCAAGTTTCTGAGACCTTGTCTACACACAAAAGTTGTCCCACATTAACTATACCAGTCTAGTTAAAGGGATGCAACCTCCCCTAGTGTGGACACAGTTATACTGGTATAAAGATGCTGACAGACGCCCTCCCGACTTACGCAATCGTTCTGTTCCGGAAAGCCTTGCGTAACTCGAATTTTACATAAGTCGGAACCGTAGACCCGTACGTTACGCAAAAATTTCTGCAACTCGAAAATCCTATTTCTGGCTTATGGAATTTTTTCTGTAAGTGCGAATTTGCGTAAGTCAGGTCTTGCGTAACCCGGGGAGCGTCTGTATACTCTCCTGTACAGGGGTTGAATGGGGATAACTGTATCGGTTTTAGCCCACGAAAGCTTATGCTCAAATAAATGTGATAGTCTCTAAGGTGCCACAAATACTCCTCGTTCTTTTTGCTGATACAGACTAACATGGCTACCCCTCTGAAACCTAACCTATATAGTTGTACTAGTGCACAAACTGTGTGGAGAGCAAGCGTTAGCTATTTTGAAGAAGTTTCTCGGGAAGATAAATGCATTAGCCTCTTTATTTCTGCTCATGAGAACACAGCACTGAAGACTGCAGGCTTGAATTCCCAGTTACGCTAAGGCCCCTTTACACCGTGATGGCAGCATAAAGGAGTCCTAAAGTGGATGTTGATGTAATTTATGGCCACCTTAGGGCCCCTTTCTCCTGCCAGAGCTGGGTAAAGGGGCCTTAGTGCAAATGAGAATCAGGCCTTTGGAGTTGGGCTTGGAACCAGTTGGCGAAAGGCATAAATGTAACGGTGCCTCTTGGTTTTATTTCTGTTCTTCTGCATTCAGACGGAGGACCACTTGGATCTGGTGAGTTGCCTTGTGCTGTGTGTGTGTTTCCTTCGAGTCCTGTCCTGACATGAGTCTTTTTGTTTCCTTTAACACCTCCTTAAACACCAGGCCTGGAGGGATAGGGGCAGGGGTTAAAGAAGGCATTGAACGTCATGGGCCTAATTCTCATTGACTCCAAGGCCCCCTTTGCACTGCTCTGGTGGTGCAAAGGAGCCTTAAAGTCAGCACAACTGTAATTTCCAGACCTATTATTTTATAGAGCAGCCAAGAATTGGGCCCTAGGAATCTATATGTTAGGGAAAATCATTTTCTGCATGGCAGAGAAAAGCTATAGGCCCAGGTCCCCAGCTGGTTTAAATTAGCACAGTTCCATTGAAGTCAAAGAGCCAACTCTCCAGCTGGTGTTAACATTGGTGTCACTCCATTCTAGTCAATGGGCCAGATCCCTAATTGGTGTAGACTGGTGTCACTCCACTGGAGTCAATGGGCCAGATCCCCAGCTAGGATAAATCAGCATCGTCCCATTGGCGTCACGGAGGCATAGCTCCAGTAAGTTCAAAAGAGCTACGCTTGGGGATCTGGCCTAACGCTGTTACAAGGGGAGCAGGAAATAAATCAAGTTCTTCAAATACTAAGAACTCTTTAAAAAAACAACAACCCCAAAAATGGAAAGTGAAATCTGAATTCTCCGTCCCACACGTTCATTCCCAAGAACTAATTTCTGCAGAGGAACACGGCTTCTCATTATTTGTATCGCTTTTCCTGCCAGCAAAGTGAGTGCTGTCACCTTGTTTGTGGCAATCATACCATTTCGTCCTGATGCTATTCTGGTGCAGTGCGGACGGGTAACAGGGTCGTGGCAGTCAGGAAAGGTTTTAATAGCCATAAATTACGGTGCGACAGAGCACTGCTAACAGGCAGTGTGGCCTAGTAGGTAAAGCATTGGATGGGGGCTCAGCAGTCGTAGGTTCTACTCCTGGCTCTGCTGCTGGGTGACCTTAGGCAAGACACTTCCCTGCTCTATGCCTCAGTTTCTCCTTCTGTAAAATGGGGATAACGGAATGGACCTCCTTGATAAAGCACTTTGAGATCTGCTGATGAAAAGTGCTGTTTAAGAGCTTGGTAGTTTTATTGCTGTATAAACCCATCCCATTTAGTGCAAACACTCCCTTGGCTCTCTTAACACAAAGGTCAGCTCAAACCGTCTCCTCCTACTTGGCTCCCTCCCTATTGCTCAGCCCACCTCCCAGGTCCTCTTTCTATAAACAACCTCTCCCACCTCCTTTATACACAGGCATAGCGATGAGTCACCTGCCTCTCAGTGAGTCAGCAGAACCCACTTAACCCTTCGCCAGCAGGATCAACCCCAGCTAACAGAGTGGGCGTGTTTCTGGCAGCTTCTAAGCCATAGACCGTGGAGAGCACCACAAGAGGGTTCACAGACTATTTAAAGGGATATTACCCTATTCTTATACACGACACTTGAGACTTTTCATTGGAAGTGTAGAGCTATCCCCATCCATCACGACGTCAGTGACAAGAGATTTCACCTGGGAGCATGTATGCATGATGTTGTAATGATCTCGAATGGAAGTGTGGCACTCCGAACAGTTAACAATCTCGCATGGCTGTCAAAATAACCAGGGGCAGTGGAGAGCATTAAAATGCCGACAAAATTTGCCTGCATGGAGAGGCACTAAAACTTTGTTAATTATAACAACCTGGCATGGCGTGAAATCACAGCGAGTTCTAGGCTGATGACTTGATTGCAGTGTTGGGGCCTGATTCACCAAGGCCCCTTTATATCACTCGGGGAGTAAGTGTACATTACACTTACACCTATTTTAATGCCCCTTTACCCTGCGAGAGTGGTGGGAAAGGGCCGCAGGCCCCTGGGTGTTTTACAGTTTTATCATCTTGCTATTCGTGTAACATTCCCATCAACCCTGCAGAACGGAAGAAGCTGCCTCCCTCCATTTGCTCTTTGGGGGAGTTGTTTTTCACATTGTTTGGGGGAAAAGCTGTTTGTTTGGCTTCATTCTGAACCTTCCTGGGATCTTCAGAGTCAGGGAATAGGACCAGTGCTTGGTCTTTACAGGCTCAAATTCACTCCTGTGCAGAGCAGCTGCAGAAAATCTAAAGGGCTTGTCTACATTGGAGGAATTGACCAGAATCGCTATTATGGAATAAGCTGTTCTACAAAAACTATTCCAGAAGATCTCTTGTGTGGACACTTCTATTCTGGAATAGCTATAATGCTTTAGGGTTTGTCTACACGCAAAATTTATTCCAGATTAAAGTAGGGTGTTAATTTAAAGGAGAGTACCTATTCTTGAGTAACTCCATGTGTGGGCCATCTTCCAAAGTGGATTAAGCTAATTCGGAATAAGGCACTCTTATTCTAGGGCTAGGTCTACACTGGGGGGGGGGGGGGTCGACATAAGATACGCAACTTCAGCTACACAAATAGCGTAGCTGAAGTCGGCATATCTTAGGTCGATTTACCTGGCCATGAGGATGGCGGCGAATCGATCGCTGCCACTCCCCCGTCGACTCCGCTTCCGCCTCTCACCGTGGTGAAGTTCTGGAGTCGACGGCAGAGCGATCGGGGATCGATTTTATCGCGTCTACACTAGACGTGATAAATCGATCCCTGATAGATCTGACGGGTAGTGTAGACATAAGAGCATTTATACATGGAGTTATTCCAGAATAGTTATTCCTGAATAGCTATTCCAGAATAACTCCAGGTATAGACAAGCCCTTAAATTTCCATCCTACCTTTTTCTGAAATAACTTCTCCTTGTAGACATGCCCTTACACATTCCACTTAAATCCTAATCTGAGAACTATGGGCCTGAGTCTCCCTTGCCCTTTACCTTGGGCAAAGTGGATGCAAAATACCACCAATCTCGTCTGGTAGTGCTTTGCAAGGGGCCTGATTCCCATTTACTCTAAGGCCCCCTTTACACCACTCCGGTTATGCAAAGGGACTTACAGTGACTGTAGCAAACCCTTTCGAGTGTAGGCAAGGCCTTAGTATAAATGTGAATCAGGCCCAGTGTGCAGTGGGGGAACCGGGCTCTTGAAATGAGACTGAAGTGGTGCATGGTCCTTGGGCTGGTGGATCCCAGCTCTGATTTCCCTTCCCCTTGTCTAGGAACTCAAGTAAGGTCTGTACATGGGCTTCTCAGGAGCCAGAAAATGGCTTTTGGAAGGCCGGGGTCAGAGCAGCACACTGCACCCAATCCCAGAAGGTAGTCATCGGCGTGGCTTGTTACCGTGGGCTGGCTGGACCCCAAACTAAATCCTAGCCACCATTAAGGCATTTGTCTTAAATACTCTTAACCCGTGGGGCAGTGGTCACAGCCCGGGCTAGCATTGGCTGCAGGATGCGTGCCTCGGAAACCTGTTTCTCCAGCCTCAAGGTTTAGTCATCATCGCCCGTATAATCGTCCGCCCTTGGTTATTTGGAACTGATCTGTCCACCGACCTGCCGCTTTGCAAAGAGCTGGCTTCTGAAACTGGCGCGCCAGGATGCTGCCAGGCTAAGGAGACACTGACTGACCGTTTGGTGCCTTCAAATGCTAAGGCGCGGCGGAGTGGGGAGGCTCGGGAGTTGCGTCAGCCTTGAGCGTGAATCCTGTCTAAATCTGTCTATGTCTAGAGGCCCTAGAGCACCCGTCTCTGAACGCTTCCCGGGTAAATCGGATCAGCACAGCCGAGGTCTCCTGGCGGCATCTTCACGTGCCATTTTCAGAGGTGGTTCCCTTGCTCCCTGTCCTTCACAACCCGCAAGGCAGCTGTCGCCCTCCACTCCCATTGACCGGGCGCAGACAGCAACTCGCTGTCTCGACCGACCGGGGCCCGAAATGACCCGGCGGGCATCGCGCCATGCCAAGCATGGTCTAAGCTGGATTCTGTTTCGGGTTTCCTTGGGTGACATGTGCCCGGGTGCCTCGGATTAGAGTCAAGCCTCTTGAGTCTGATTTAAATCAGATTAACACAGGCAGCCCGGATTATCTGGTTTGCAAACAGGGCCTAATCCTGCCCTCAGATCCACCCAAATAACTGGGGGGGGGGAGGGGTTAGGTGCTGCTATCCCAGGGCAGCATGTCTGCATAGTGTGCCAGTGGGCCTCAGGGGGCCACTCTTTAAAATGGGGGCTTGTTAATGACTGAGGCCCACAAATCTCACTCGGGGCCCCATCCAGCACTGCCAAGAGATGCTGAGTACCCTCGATTCCCAGGGAAGTCAAGGGGACTGATTCTCAGGCACGTTCGATACAGGGATGGAGGAAGTTAAGATAGCTTTAAGTCACCTTTGTACTTCTCGGGCCTGATCCTCTTTTACACCAGGGTCCCTTCAGACTGTTCTGGTAACATAAAGGGTCCTTAAACTGGGTATAAATTACCTTGGACAAGTCAAAGTCTATCCGTGCCTCAGTTTCCCCCATCTGTACAATGATAGCACTGCCCTACCTCACGGGGGGGCGTTGTGAGGACAAATGCATTAAAGACTATAGCACGCTCACATACGGGGGTGAGGGGAGCCAGATAATTACCTAAGATAAATAGTCTTTCCAGCCCCTGGTGTGTAAATTAGAGCAACCTCAGGGCATTCGTCTTAAGAGTAAAATTCACCTCTGTGCAGAGTGCCAGCACAAGAACTATGCAAGCCAGAAAAATAGGATTTAAGTGGGACATAAGTGGCACATAGGACCTCTCTGCGGGGTGAGTGTCCCTGAAAGCCCTGCTACCGCCTCCCCTGCTGTTTTGTTTAAAAAAGAAGCATCTCTTTGAACCAATTCACTTTGGCTGGTTTGCTTAAGGCAAGTTACATTGAACTATATTCTCCTTTAAATGAAGGCCGCTTTTCCCTGCTCTGGCAGGGAAATGGCACCTTAGTGCCATGGAGAATCAGGCCCGGGGTATTTTAAACATCAGAAGGAAAAGAATAAAATAAAACCCAGCGCAAATGATCCAGCTACTGAAAGGCATACGGGTCCGGAGAGCCTGGAACTGATGGATTTGAAAGTGGTCTGGTGTTTTAGTCCGCTGCGTACAGGAATTCCCCAGGTGGCTCAGACCAGCGCTCCATCTATCCTACCGCTCTGTCTCCAACAGTGCCGAGCGGTAGGTGCCAGGAGCCTTGCAGTCGGCGGTTACAGACCTAACCCACCGGTGGTTTAAACACATTCAGCTTCTAATTCCTTCTCCGTTTGCTTCCCCAGCAGAATGCACAGAGGTTAGGAGTCTCCCAAGCAACTCATTCTTTAACCACGCCTGTCGTGTCGGTGGCCACTCCAAGTCTGTTGACCCAGGGCCTGCCTTTCTCTGCCATGCCCACAGCGTACAACACAGGTAAGTGCGACGGACATGAAACTATGGTGTTGATTGGAACCGCCGCCAGGATGTTGCCAACTTTTCCCACATGATGCATAACATCCTGTGGAACTCCTTGCCACAAGATATCGCTGAGGATAAGAGCTTAGCAGTATTTTTTGTTTTTAAAGAGTGGTCATTTATATGGATAATGAGAACATCCGCTGTTACATCAGTAAGGATTTTAAGGCCGTGATTCTCATTTACACTAAGGCCTCATTACGCCGTTGTGGCAATGTAAAGGTGCCTTGAAGTGGGTGCTAATTACAGTTACATCCACTTCCTGGCCCTTTTATGCTTCCAATGCAGTGTAAAGAAGTCTTAGTGCAAATGAGCGTCCGGACCAAAACCCAGCATCCTTCTGGGCATAAAGCCAGTTACTAACTGATTGGGGTTAGGAAGAAAGAGAGATGAAGGTTATGGAACATCTGTCCCCAGAAAAGGCAGTAGGTCTCTGGAACCTGTCCCACACCCGTGCAGAGTGGAAGGTTTGGCACCTGCTCAGAGAATATCTTGTAAAAATGCTGTATGAAGCTGTTTGTCTGGAAGAGCCCGGAGTAGGCGGGTGGGGAACACCCTCTTATAATTAATAGGTGTAGCCCAGCAGATGTCTGCTCACAGGCAAGTAGAAGTCTCCTCTCCTTGCCTGGATTTCAACCTTGCTCAGAGCGTCCAGGGCAAGGCTAGATTATGAATGCAGCGTAGGCTTGCGCTCATCCCTCTGCATAGGGGTGACAGGGGGAAAATGTCCAAACGTGGCTGCCTGAATATTTGGCTAAACGGCCTGATATCAGAGCTGCTAGTGTGATGATCATTGCTCATATGACTGTGGGGTCCCGCTGTCCCAGATGAGACCAGGGCCCCTTTGTGCTGGGGGCTGCGTGCACACACACACACACGATGTGGGACAGTCTCTTCCCCAAAAAAGCTTCCAGCCTAAGACATCTCATCTTTCCTCCGCTCTTTGACGATGCAGAATTTTTCTCTGCTGAGCATTTGCTAGCGGAGGAGCCAATCGGCTGTTCTTAAATAATAACCATTTCCAAAGTGAATTAAACTAAACCCAGTTAAGCCCACCTGAATTCTGAATGAGAGCATCCACACGGGGGTTTAATTCGGTTTAGCTAATCCACTTTCAATTCACACGTTTCGGTAATTGAGATTAATTTTCCTGAGTGTCCCCTGTACACAATCCCCAGTTAGGGTTATCTGGAATTTGGACTGCCCTGGGCTTTAGATGGGCTTGGGGTGAGCGTCCTCCATCCAGGAGAAGTGTATAACCCGCTCAGCCATCTGCCCCCTCTATGTCTGCTCTGCAGAGCCTACCAAATTAGCTCAAACTATAGCAAGGTACATTTCCACGTGTGGGAAAATCTGCAGTTCAGTCCCCAAGCGTTGCCTAAAGCTGGTGGCTGTCACGCCCAGTGGCTGTAAAGTGCTACCAAGCCTGAATGGTTCCCGGCTGGTGTAAATGACTGAGCCAGGCACAGAGCCGCAGAGAATCAAGGGTTGGGACTTTCTGGTGGGTGTGCCGCAAATCGGCATAAGTAACTTTGGCAGCCTTTCAGCTCCCCTTCAGCCATCTCTTTGTGACGTGCTGCTGCAGGCAGGTTTGTCCCTGCAGGGGTGGGGAAGACTGAAACCACAAACGCCCAACATGAGAGGTGGGGTGCGGTGGGTGATGAGTGGCGCACAGGAATTCTGGCTCTATTGTGTGCGCATCAAATGCTGAGACAATACAGCAGAACCGCCTTTGATCAAAGGTCAGTTCTTTTAGCAGAAAACAATTCTCTGCCAATGCATAGTTACTCCCAGCCTGGCCAGCTCTCATGATTTTACAGCAAGTTTCATGATATTTGGTCTTTTTCTGAAAGCTCCTGCTCCTGGAGTCATGTGATTATATGAAATGTCATCTCGTTTTTTAAGTACATTTCTAGCCCTCATGATTGCTGAGAAGAGCTGGAAAACATAACTCCTGAATGCTCAAAAAACAGATTTTTAAGCCAGTCTTGTGGTTTTTCAGGGACATGATTCATGCTGTTTAAGCACCTGGGACTGGCAAAACTGTTATTGTCTCTTTGGGATTGAGGTACATAACAGATATCTCCAGCCCCTGAGAGGTTACAAGAATTGTATATATAAAAAATACTTACATCCCCTAATGTGGTGGAGTAAAGAGGCCTTAATGTAAAGTGAGGCCCAGTATCTCTCTGTGTGTAGTTACTAAACCTATGCGCGCATACACACACACAAATTGTCACTAGAAATTTGCCCTTCCCCCACCCTCTTGCCCAAGTGCATTTTTCAGGGCACCAAAACGATTTGTGAATCAAATTTGCAAAATAGTTTCAGCTGAACCTCATCCCCCTCCAAAAATCCCTGAACACAAATCTCCGAAGTGTCAAAACGGTTTGTTTAGAAAGTATCAAAACAAAATTACTTTGACATTTAATTTCAAATTGACTTTTTTTAAACAAAATGTCAATCTGAATTAATGTTCAAAATGTTTTGTTTGACCTGAGTGAAACCATTTTGGCTTTTCATTTTGTCCAGAAAACTGAAAAAATTCCATTTTGGTTCAAAACAAATAGTGAGGGGTTTTTTTGTTTTTGTTTTAATTTTTTTGGTTTGGTCACCAAATTAAAAAAAACAACAAAACAAACAAACAAACAAAACCCCACCCAACCCAAAACTAACCACAACCAATTTCTTGCTCAGCTCTAGTAGTTAGTATATATGAATGCCTTCCACTGGCATATGAGAATAGGGTGTGTAGTATTGTTCATAAGTTTATATGTTTGATAGAGTTGTTGGCTCATTGCAAGATTGTTTCCTAGTTGAGCAACTATTAAGACAAGCTATTGACAGCCCAAGGCCTTGTTCCCCTGAAGGAGTCCAAACAGTCTTAGTGCCAGTAGTCCTTGTAGGAACTCCCACATCCCTCTCTGCTGGGAGCTAGTGGGAAGCAGGTTAGCGCCTCCAATATTCCCCTGCCTTCAGCCTTCTCTGACCCTTAGCTCTAGCTTAGAGCTAGCAGGCTGCCCCCTCTGCCTTCTCCTCCTCCTGCCTTCGGCATGTACAGCACCTAGCACACTGAGGCCTCTAGCTGCTACCACGATATAAATAAGGAGATGACAAGATCTTTGAAAAGCTGAGTCTGGAGGGAGAAGAAAAGGGAGGAGGGGGCTGCCATGCGCTGGAAGGTGGAGTGGAGCAGATTTGGAAGCAAAGATAGCTTGTATCTGCTTACGCAGTATGATCACATGGAGTTCGTTAAAGTGATGGCCTTGCTGATGTGTCAGCTAACTCAATTAAACAGCAGCAAGATCAATGTCTGCAGCCGCTTTTATCATGCCAGGCATCTCAAGGAGCTTTCATAACAAAATAAGACGCTGATCAAACACAAAAAGTTTATTATTCCATTAAGAAGCAAGCGCGTCTTTGGCTCAGATGTAAACGAATTCTAATCAACGGAACGTACTAGTCCCGCTTCCACTTCCTCTGTACTGCTTAGCCCTGCTGTGGGGTAGAAGTGCTGCTTGGTGCACTGTATAGGGTGTAATTAACTAGGTAAGCGTATGCATGTGTACACCACTGCCCAGTACTTCTGTGGGTCTACACTGGTGCCCTATACTGTGTGGAATCGGTGTGCATGTTTGTGTTTATATCCTACTATTCTGTACTGGAAATAGTGTGTGTGTGTGTTTTATATACCACTACCCTTTACTGGATGGAATCAGCATGTGTGTGTTTCTACACCACTTCCATGTACTGGATGTAATCCCTTTATGTGTGTGCATGAACTACTGCAGTCTCTTGGATGGAATCAGAGCTGCTCGTTCGTGTGTCATGAGCCCTATACTGCACATGGTGAATGGTGATTCTCCTTTAGCTCAAGCAGAAGGGGTCTGTGATTTTGGAGGAGGAGGATGTGCATTCTATGCCCAGTTTTGCTGGGCTGTCCCAAGCAGCTGTTGTGCACATCACAGTGACACCTGCAAGGTTCCTGAGCTGCCTACAGATTTGTTACAACATGGAGAAGGATTTGCTCTCCACCCTCATTTGTCGCAGGGGCCAAGCTCAGGATTTGGTGTGGATGCAATGAAGGGTTTGCTTCTGAGCAGCGTGTCTTCTGTTTCAGATTATCAGCTGACCAGTGCAGAGTTATCCTCACTCCCGGCGTTCAGCTCACCCAGCGGGTTGTCGCTTGGCAACATCTCTGCCTGGCAACAGCAACAACATCAGCAGCAACAACAACAACAACAACAACAACAGCAGCAACAACAGCAGCAGCAGCAACATCTTGTTCCTGTATCACTAAGCAACTTAATGTAAGGGAAATGGAGGAGTTGGGCATTCCGTTGATGCTGCCTTCGTAGTTGCATGGTTCCACAGGGCTTAAGGCCAGAAGGGATCATTAGACCATCTAGTCTGTCCCGCAGATACCCTCTATCGAGCCCCGTAACTTGGCTTAGACGAAAGCATTTCAGTCCTTTGTTTCCTTGAACACGCACTGCAGCGGTGTATTTCGACAGCAGTTATTCCTGATTGGGGGAGGCAGTTGTGCCTACTGGTTGGAGCAAAGGGGATGTGGAGCCAGCACTCCTGGGTTCCATGCCTGGCTCTGCCACAGATTCCCAAGTCACTGCCCTGCTCCGTGCCTCAGTTTCCTCAGTTGTAAAATGAGGAAAATGATACTGATCCACCTCACAGGGCCTTCATTTAGGTGTTTTGAGATTCTGGTCCAGACATTTCTCTAGAAGGACAAATTCTTATTTCTTTCACGTTTGAGACGGTTGACATTCTGGTGAAAAATCAAAAACTCACATATTTCTATTCTGAAATCCTGCCTCATGGGAGTTGCAGTTCGGGTGCCTCATGCTCCCATTCTCTATAGCTAGGGCTCCCTCAACAGACTACATTTCCCATGATGCTCCCTGGGTTTTGCCCTGGTGAGGGGAGGCAGTTGCATCATGGGAGTCCCTGGCATGGTGCATCATGGGAGATGTAGTCAAGAGCAGGGACATGAGGAAACTGAGCTGCAGCTCCTACGAGGCCCCACAGAAGCTATGTAAATTGAAACATTTCAGTGTTTCGGCTGAAATAACTAGTTTGTTTTTCTGATGAAAATGGAAGTTTTCTGTGGAAAGCGGACACTTTTTGCAAAAAAAAATTCGTTTAGTAGAAAACCTGATTTTCCATCGAAAAACTACCCTAGCTCTGAGTGTCCTCGCTCGAGGAAAGCAAAATATTCAAAGCGAAATGTGAAATTCCTGACAAGTTCAGAACCTGTAGGACCTGGTGCCCGAAGGTGCTGTGGAGTAATAATACAGTGCTGTTACACGTTCCGCTCTAGGCTACCGACACCACCTGCTACGCCCCCAGGTTTTGTCGGTAGCCAGACTGATCTACACACTGTGGGTGGCCCATAGGATACCCCTGTAACGAACCAAACCAAAACAGCCACGCACTTTGAGGAATTCTGTATCTGAACTCTGTTATTAACGCCAGTGGCTTCATTTGCTATGGGGACACGGGAGGCAGTTGCCTCCCCCCCGAGACCTACCCCCTTTGTGGGGTCTCAGTGCCCAGGCTCCAGCCCAAGCCCAAACGTCTACATTGCAATTTTACAGCCCCGCAGCCCAAGCCCCGTGAGCCTGAAACAGCTGACTTGGGTCAACCATGCCCATGCCATGGGTCTTTTATTGTGTAGACGTACCCTTATTGAGAGACAGTTCCTGCCCCAAATATCTTGCAGTCTAACTAGACAAAGGGAGAATTATTGTCCTCATTCCCAAATGGGAAATCGAATCCCAGAAAGAACAAGGGTTTTTCTAATGCGGACGCTGACCCAAACAGCTTTTGTTCAATATCTCCCCTTGTGGACACTTTATTCTGGACTAAATCGGGTGCTTCCCAAGCAGAGGAATTATTCTGCAATAGAAAGTCCACACGGAGCAACTTCAGTCAGTTTCCCCATGCAGACAAGCCCGAAGGGTATCTGAGAGTGAACTTCCCAGCTGGGGTGCACAGACTCATGCCGGTGCGCTAAGAAAAGCTGTGTGGATGTCACGACCTGGGTTCTCAAGCCCGGGGGGGGGTGGGCTTGAGATCCCGAATGACAACCTCAATGCAACATCTTGCTCCCAGGTGCAGGGCAGACATAGCCTCGGTGGCTTGCTGCAGGTCACACAACACGCAGGTGGTGGAGGCAGGAATTGGACCCAGGTTGTCGGCTTCCTAGCCAAAGGCAGGCTGCCAGGTTTGATCAACCAAGGATTGATCAAGTGCCGCGCATTCAGGCCGAGCTGTCAGTGGAATGAGCAGGAGCCTTGTCTGTGCAGGGGTGCGTGACCTTTCTCCGTCCTTGGCCTGAATTGAGCAGGACAGAGGGTTCTGTTGGGTTATCTGCCGGGAAGGTGCATTCACTCCAGACAGGGACAGTTTGTTTATTCACGTTATATGGAATCTAGACGGGCCTGATTCTCAGTCCCCAGTCCGGACGGTTCCTGCTTTTCTCCCCTCAAAACACTTCTCATGTATACCAACTCCCACGGCAGGACCTAAGTACACACTGCGGGGGTGGGGACAGCTCCTCGGCAGGCGCAAATCGGCAGCGATGGAGCCACCCCAGTTGACGTCAGCTGAAGATTTGGCCCGGTTGCTGTAACAATATCGCATTGTTTGGATGGGCACTGTGCTGAAGTCTCTAGTGTAGCAAGGAGCAGGGAAGGGGATCAGAGTGTATTCAGACTACTGGCACAGAGGAGAATGTTGCAGTCAGCTGGCGTGCGTGTGTGTGTGTGTGTGCACGCGCGCCACTGCCATTTACTGGCTGGAATCAGAAGGGTGTGTTATAGGCCTTAGACTCAGTAGTGTAATTTATATGATGATGATTGTTTATTTGTATTGCCATGCCAGCTAGGTGCCCTATTCGTGAACCAGCAGCACTCCAGTGTGCTAGGCATTGTACAAACATAGAACTGTGCTTAGAGGACCTAGCCAAGATCCCCCCCCCCCGCATTGTGCTAGAGGCTGCAACAGACATTTAGGGGGCTTGTCTACATGCTGGGGCGCGTCACTGAAGACACTACCTACAACAACGGGAGGGGTTCTCTTGTTGGCATGGCAATCCACCTCCCCGAGAGGCGGTAGCTAGGTTGACGGGAGAATTCTAGTGCTGTTGTACCGGGGGATAGGTGCTGTCTGTACCGGGGCTCGCTCAGGGGGTTGGCTTTTTCACACCCCTGAGCGACGTGGTTTACCAACCTAACTTCCTCGTGTAGACCAGGCCATAGTAAGAACCCATCTTTGCTCCAAAGAGCTGACAGCCTAATAGAACTGGCTAGAAAATAATGAAAAAAATTAATAAATATTTTGTCATTTTCAGCTAAAGTTTTCTATAGTGTTATTGTAGCTGTGGTGGTCCCAGGATATGAAAGAGACGAGGTGGGAGGGGTAATATCTTTTATTGGACCCACCTCCCTGGGTGAAAGAGACAAGCTTCAAGCTACACGGCTTAGAGTCTAGTTAGACAAGACAAACAAAGGCTGGGATGGGAAAGAGATCCACAGAGAGAGGAAGTGACAGGCTCAGGGTCACACAGGCCGGCAGCGTGGCCCAGAACAGAATGCACCTCTCCTGGTTCCCAGTCTAGTGCATTCTCCATGTCTATATTGCCTTTCCAAGTCCACTAGCAGCAGCAATAGCGGCATAGCAAGGGCTAGCATCTTTCTGGCCTCAGAACAATCACACCATCCATTGCAGCTGGCCCGTTACAGAAGCACCCTAGGACGTTTCATTCCAGGCAACCCCGATGACTCCCTAATGCCACAAACGTCCTTTATCCTTCGAGGAAGCGCATTTGATGCTGTGCTGTCATTGCTAACGCAGCGGGTTTCACTGCTGAACATTAGGGGCCAGGTTCTCCTTGGCGTGAAGGAGCAGCATAGAGGGACCTTAATGGGGCTGGAGGATGCCAGGTAGGGTGGTCTTGTGCTAAGGCCTTAGGTTGGGCTTTAAGAGACTTGGGTTCTCGTCCTGAGTCTGCCCCAGATCTGGGTGATTTGGGGGGGTAGTTACTTCCGTTCTCTCTGTCTCAGCTTCAACTGTGTAGACTGATAATATTAAACTGCACTGAGATGGATGGATGATAAGATCTCTGCATTTCTATGATAGAAAAGGCCTTTACAGATGTTAATTATCAATATTTCTCTCTTCCCCCTTTCTCCATCTGTTTTTTTTCACCTTCTCTGCATCTGTCTCTTATTCCTTCACTATCCCACGTGTGCACTCCTCTACGTTTTCTCCCCCTCGTCTTCCCCCTTCCCTTCTTTTCTCCTGTCTCCCCTTTCCCTCTCTCCACTCCCCATCCCTCCGCTGCCACCTGCAGACAAGGGGGTCACTTATCTCACACCACCACGTTGACTGTCAACACCAACCCCAACATCAGCATCAAGTCGGAGCCCGTCTCGCCCAACCGGGAACGAAACACTGCCACGCCGCTCAGCTCCTTCCCGCACCAGAGCCGGCACGAGCCGACGGGGCGTTCTCCCGTCGACAGCCTCAGCAGCAACGCCAGCTCCTATGAAGGCAACGAGCGGGATGACCCCGCCAGAGCCGATTTCGGCTCGTCCCTCGGCCTCCTGAGACCCACGACCGAGGCCGAGGGAGAGAGCCCGTCCGTAAAGCGCGTGCGGCTGGACGCCTGGGTAACATAACCAGTCCCAACTCTCTTCGAGCTACTTTCTGCTCACGTCCGGGTGGGGGCGGGCAGATGTGTGTGTTGGGGGGGGGGGGGGGGGGGTTGTACCAGGGGGGGGGGGTGGGAGGGGGAAGAGGGGGGGCGGGGGGGGGGTTAATTGGGTTGGGGGTGGGGGCGGGGACTTATTATAAACTGCCTGAGAAATAGCTTTAGGATTTTGTAGGCATTCATTCTAGCGCAGCAGGCAATGTTTGCAATACGTAAGGCACTCCATGGCTGAGAGCAGCTTAGAATCAAGAATGGGGGGGGGGGGGGAACGGGGCACAAAAAAAAAAAAAACAATCAATCACTTATCCCAGCGAGCAAGTGTCGGGCGTGCGTGCTAGGTTGTTGTCGATAAAATTCACCCACTGGCGATCGGGAGCCGGGGAGGGCTTGAGACGTGTGCCCAGTTTATGAGGTCGGACCTAATTCTGAGAGAAGAGTGCCTTTGATGAGAAAGTACCTAGGACTTCTATTTGGATGCAGAGAATTTCTTATGCACACACAAACATATGCACATTTTAGCTCCAATTCCACATGGCTCTGTGCACTCTAAACGCCCCCTGATGTGCAGCCAAATTCAAATACAGCTGAGATTTTTTGCCACCCCGTGCTCCCAATCAGAGAGTGACCGGGACCGCCGTGCAGAACGGCCAGCGTGAGGTATATGCACTGCTTAAGTTCCACTCAAAAAAATAGCACTTCGGTGAGACTTAAGTGATGCCTCCCTTTCCTGGCCCCTCAGCACAATAGGGGTGGATGTCACTCAGCATGAACTGGTAACCTACCAATGCTGCTGGGTCAGATGCTGTATCTCTGCTCTGTATGTAGCAGAATGCTGATCAATATCCCAGTTCGGAGGCTTGGCTTCATCTCATCAGTTTCAACTCCAGTTATGTTGCTAAATTAAAAATGAATAATAATAATCATCTGTGCAAAGAGAGCTTTCCCAATGCAATCTATAGGGCCAGATTCTCAGCCGGTGTAAGTCACCCGAGCTGCGTTGTATAACTGGTGAGCAGTCTAGCAAATGTTAGTAGAGTCCGTGCCACTTAAAGGCCACGTTGCACTGCCAGAGCCATATCAAGGGACATGAGTGTATATGAGAATCGGGCCCCTGATTTTTAGGGCTTTATCTGGCAGTTCAGATGAAATTTAGTTAAAGAAAACATCCCCACTGATAAGTATCAGGGCGTAGCCGTGTTAGTCTGTATCTACAAAAACAACAAGGAGTCTGGTGGCACCTTAAAGACTAACAGATTTATTTGGGCATAAGCTTTCATGGGTAAAAACCTCACTTTTTCGGATGCATAGATAGATCGACAGAGTAGTGCCACCCATCTTTGAAAATGGCAGCTTTTCAAACACCCCACGGAGGTCTAGAATGGTGCATAGTGGAACTATTGCATATACCTGAATTAAAAAAAAAACATTTAAAAGCAGGGGAGGAGGGGAGATCTTTTTCTTTTTCTTTTTTTTAATAAAGCAGTTTTGCCAACCATAGATAGGAAAAAATGATAAAGAAATGTTTAAATCTCACATCAATTAAAATTCATACTCATTAGATGTTGGTGAAGTTTAAATTAGAGCTGATTTTAAAAAAAACCAGGAAAAATTATTCATGGACATTTCTAAAGTTTTTTTCCATTGAAATTCTAATTGTTCTTTGAAATGTGAAGAATTCTGAAAAGGCTCTTGAACAACAAGTGAGGAATATTTGCAAAAATGTCATCAACTCTTTTTCTTCCTCAAAATGCAAAATTTGTATTAGTAATTTGAAATTAGAAAGTTCTGGTCAATTCTACATTTGGTTGAAGAATTAGGGGGAAATGTACAAAAAATTCATTGGCAATTGTTTTCCTTTCCCTCCCCCTCATCCAAATCCAGAACTTTTTTGTCATCATTTTGAAACTCAGACGTTCTAGGCTGTGCTATCGTTTGGTCGCAAAATGGGTAAAAAAAAAAAAATCGCAAGTCTTTTACTGCTCTTCCCTCCCATTTATTTTTTAAATACTGAAACCTTGATTAAAATTTTCTTGGTGATTTGAAAAATTCCAACTTAACAGTTTACATTAGGGATTCAACGGAGGGAAGTCAGCCCAGTATAAACTGGTGAGGGCATCGCCCTGTGATACTTTCTTCCAGTGCAGGCCATTCAAGCTGATTTCTGCTGTCACAATGGCTCAGGCAGTTAGCTACATCACAGATGGAACAGAACATGCAGCTTCATCCCCTCCTGACAATATTACCACCAATGTACTGTACTGACCCGACCCTAATATACTGTAATTGGCTCAGCTAAAGCTTTGTACTATCCAGTGAGCAGAAACACACACGTTGTGGAAGGGAAAATAACGTTTCTCCTGCTTAACCTTTACGGATGACGACGTTGTCACTATAAGACTTTATCCGAAGCCCGATCAGGTTTATGAATTAGGACAAAAAAATACATTCTATAAGAGGCCAGATCCTTTGAACTGACCTCCCATTGCTGTCCATGGGAGCTTTGCCACCGATTTCAGTGGTAGCAAGATATATGCCTAAGGGTTGAGCTGAGAGAGAGCTTATGTGCTTAGTACATATTCGTGTAGGGTAAAATTCCCCCCAGGCAGAGGCCCGGGTACCACTTAAGTCCTGTTTGGGGGGTTTCTGGTGATGTATAGACATGAGACTGGCGAATCTGCATGGGTTGAATTCCAGCCATCCTGCCAAATCCCTGGTTGCATTGAAGTAAATGGTACAAAGCTCCCATTCGCTTCAGTGGGCCGGGAGCCATGTGATTACGCTAAGCAGTTATCTGACGGGGCCTTTGTCCCCTTTGGTTACGGCCCCTAGGGGTAGTGTGTGGAATTAGAAAATCTGTTCAAAGTCAGGAGACAGCACGTTTCTCCACCGCGGGTCTCAGGTCACTCAAACTTACGCCTTCGCCACGTAGGCGTCACATAAGGGTTGGCACAGCTGCGAGGCGTCACCGTGGTTCACATCTTTGTTTAAATGGCAGCCGCTGGGCATTCCAATCAGAAATGCCAAGCTGACTCCCCTCTCCCCCTATACTCTCTGCTCCTTTAATTTGCCATCCCATACATCTCTGATCGTTTTTATTTTGTCCCCCGATCTCCAGCAGGCAGGAACACATTTTTCACTCTTAACCCCCCTCTGCCCCCCCCCAAAAAACTCCCTCCCCCAAATTAAATAAACCAAAGGGCAACATCCTCGCTGGTGTACGTTGATGCGTAAACGCCAGATTGACACCAGCTGAGGAACTGGCAACGTGCATGGTCATCCGAGGTATGGGGAGCATGGGAGACCGGGGGGTGAGTGGCGAGAGAGGGGGTTCATTAGTCATTTCCAGCAGGCCTTCTTCTCCCTGTGACTAGTGGTTTAGTTTACACGTGTGTGCTGCACCTCCAGTTCATTGCCCACCTAGCAAACGCTGGTGAGGCTGTGGACGGGCAGCTTCCTCTCTCATCATTAGGTAAGATCTTCAAAGGCTTTGTTCTCCATACTGGGTATGCCCATTCCTGTCCCCCTCCCCCCCACTGCCCCGGGGTCAGCAAATTGAAACGAGAAGGGAAACCAGTGCAGTCTGCTCAGGAATCTTGTACCGAAGGGCTTTCGGGAACTCCCGCAGATAACGTCTGAGTCCCCTGCAGACAAGCGTTCAGTCCCTCCTTTCGCCTGCATTTGCGAATGGATGAGCATTAATATCAGGGCTCAGTTTATCCCCTTACCTGCTCTCCCATCCCACCTTTTACGTTTATCCTCGGCTTGGGATCATGGTCCCCCACCAAACTTGCGAGGGCATCTCAGTTCTGCAGCGGGGGGAGCTTTGTTTTCACTGGGTTAATTACCTATGCCAGTGGAGTTCTGCTACCATGCGTGGCTCCTCCCTGAGATAGTTGAGAAAGCAAATTCTCTTTCAGCATCTACAAGCTCAATGGCTTTGAGATCCGCCAAACAGGCCCAGAAATACTTCAAAGTGGAGGAGGAAAAAGTCATGGTAGGATTTGCGGGTGTAGTCGGCTTCTTGTAGCCCACCATTTATTCCAGAAGTTTCTAGACTTTTAGAATACTTCCAACTCAGCGCGAGATGGAAGATTGAGAAGCAGAGACCTGTTGAGATTACAGCAGCTAAAGAATAAGAATAATAAAGCACTAAAAGGCGAGATGGTTTCGAAACAGAACATTTTTGTTTGTTTTTCGACATTTTCCGCAACATTTTGGAACTTTTTCATCTTTTTGTTGTTGTTGTTGTTGTTGTTCCATTTTTGAAAATTCTCAATTAGAAAAATGGATATTTTCAGTTTTGAAATGAACGTTTTTGGTTTAGGAAGTCTTCAGTTTTGGAAAAGCCCTTCCATGCGACTATGCTGACCGACCAAAATTAGCAATAAGGGAAGAGGGGGAAAAAGCCCTCCAAAACCCAAAAATGAACAGTTACATGAAAATGCAATGCAATAAATGCAGGTTTTCTTAGGGGGAAAAAGGGAAAATGTAAACAAAATCTAATTTTGAGAGGTGAAATTTTTCTTATAAAAAAAAAAAAAAAAAGCCATTTTTTTGTTGAATTAGTTTTTCATTTAATTTTTTTTTTGGGGGCCTAGTTCTCCCAGATCTAAAGCCTCTCTAAATATACGTGTGCCGTTAAAACACAGCTCTCCTTGGCAGATTTCAGTTCGTTCCCCGAGTGGTCATGAGTTCTCACTGGCGCAAACTCGACCCCTTTGCTTACAGCCTCAGTAGAAAGGCCCTGGATTGAACGTGCCCCTCGGGGAGTTGTTCCAGAGCAATGAAGAGCAGTAGCAATGCTGCTGGCTGCATGGTTCTATGGCTCAAGGAAGGACTTCATTGTCCAGGTCCATCAGCCTTTCTCTAGTGAATAGCAGGGTTCAACTAGCACTGCTTGTCCTACATAATCAGATGCTAACTTAGCACTTTGTTTGGCAGTTCAGATGAATTCGCTAGCAGGTTCTTCCATAGATAACTTCTACCATGACTTTTTTCCCTTAAATGAAATTCCTCTATGTGCAAAGGCCCAGTCAAGGCCTGAGGAGCATTAGACCCACTAGTCTCCAAGCCATGGGGCTTAAATAGGAATTAAGTGGCGTACACATCTCGTGTCGGCCCCTCTGCGTATGGATGAATTTCATCCTGGGGGCTAGATCTCCAGCAGGTGTAAATCAGAGTTATTTCCATTGATCTACACTGAGGATCTGGCCCTTGGCGAATTCTGGGTTTATGGACTACTGCCGCCTTGCAAAATTATCGTGAAAATGGAGCAGCTTGGGAGCAAAATCCTACTCGCCATAATGATGGACAAATCAACAAATTATTCTGTTTGCTTGTCGAAAGTTGAGCAATTTGCAACTTTGACAACACTTGATTTGAGAAAAAGTTTTGATCATTATTACTTTTTGTTTTATTACAAAAAAGTTTCCAAATGTCAACAGCTTTTTTTCCACAATAAAAATGTTGACTACTTTCCCCATGGGCTCGCAATCCAGAATGGAGTTTTGCAAGGCTACGTGGGGCTGTGTTGCAAACCGGGCAGTATGTGGGAGGTCTCTGTGGCAGGTTTTATGTTGCCTCCATATGTCAATCTAAGCTGAAGTCCCCAATCTGAAATTTATCTGACCATCAAATTCAGAGCACGCCCACCTTATTGCATTAGCGATGTATGGGTACCATCCATCCAGCCGAAGGCTTTGCACGGCCATGCTTTGAAATTAAGCAGAATACAAAGCATTTCTCATCAATTTTATTTTTCCGTCGCTATCCTGCAAATAAACACTTTCTCTCCTGTTGGGAGACTTCCGGTGGAATGTCATTTGCAGTTCTCAGTGCATTCTGTAGTCAAGAGGATCCGAAATGGTTAACTCCATTGACAGGTAGAAAAGACCATCTGGTACTCAGCCATCTGACCTGCTCAAACATCAATGTAGAACAAACCTGAGGAAAAACCTTTTTGCTTATTAACTTCATACCCTAACTCCCAACTTGGCATGTCTATCTTGGAGCTGAGAGCTTGGAAAATAAAAATGCAACCTGGGTGCATATATATATTTTGAGAGAGAATGGAGACAGACCACCAATTGACTGGCTAAATCGGTTACAAAATGGCATTAAACTGTGGCACCAAGCAGCTAACATTTCAAATAAATAAAAAGCCAAGGTTCAAAGGTGATCTTCAGAAATCTGGTGGTGGGACTCTAAAACGTGCATTGGCTCAACCCGTTTGGAAATATGCTTGTGGGACAGTTGGGATTGCACCATGGGAATTGACGGAGGGGGATGTGGGGTTTGACAACCGCATTAGCTTCACCGTTTGGGTGAAATGATTTTTGGGTTTGTTTGGGTTTTTTTCGTCTGGGTTATTCTCTATTTCCCCACAGACTGTAGAATCCAGTCAACGCCTCCTGATTTTCAAAAGACAACCAGAAGAATGACAATCTAAGAAATCAACACCCTCCTTTGTGCTTCTATAAATATGTTTCTGATCTTTTAATTTTATTTCTTGTGCTCCACTGTACTGTTGACAGTTACATTGTGTATAATTTTTTTTTTAATTTGGAATTTTGCGTTGTATAGGGTTTAGTTTTAAAAATATATATATATATTTTTTCCATTTTTTAAAAAGGGGTGTTGCAAAAAAAAATTGCACGATTTAAATGACAAACAGTTCAAATGCTGCAGTTTTTAGAGATATGGAAGCAAAACGGAGCTTATTTATTCTCAAACGCTATAAAAGGTGTAAAATGCATGAAGAAAAAAAACATTTACAAAAAACAAAAACAAAACAAAAAAAAGACAAAAAACGTGTAACCTGAACAAAGTGTAGCGTTAAAAAAAAAAAATTTAAACAATGACAACAATGAAAAACAGCTAATATATTGTGTTTGGCTAGTTTGCTTTTGTTTTTAATTGTTCCTTTATTATTATTTTTTTTTGGAGAATGAAATACAATTGTGTATATTTTCATATAAGAAGTATGCACTGATATGTTTCAAAAAAATGATATATTACTTTCTAAAGATGTGGTTACTTACCAAAGTCTGTTTCTGATCTTTTCCTTCTTGAAACCTATGTGGATCCTTCAACATACATACTCTGGGGTTAAATACAAGGGGCCTATTTGAAGTTACACGAAGATCTCTTTACATTGCTGTGGGAGAGCTACAGTGGCATGGTCATAAATCTGCTTTACGCTGCCAGAGCAGCGGAAAGAGGCCTTTGTGTAACAGGTTTACTTCTCAAGTGACTCAGATGTGGGGTTTGCTTTGATGTGGCACCTTCCCTACGAACACCAAAAATGTAGGGCGTAGCCTAGGTTATGAACAGATTTTAACCATAGGTTAAATGTTCCATCAAAGACTGTTTTAACCCATCAGGAGAACAAAATTGTCCTTCAAGGACAGGGCATGAGACAAATCAAGATGTGCACTGAGGATTTCCTGGGTAAATTAAGAATCAAACACAACACTGGACTCCTGTTTAAAGTCATACTTTGTCGAGTCGATTCCAGTGCATGAAATTGGATCAGGAGTTTCGTCCGTATACATCGGAGATGGTGCTCCTGGGAGTTGTAGCATTTTGGTGCCCTGGTGGCTGTTCATTTCAACCCCTGGGTGTGCTTATGTTTGGCCACGACAGAGGCCATTTGACTGCGTTGGGACAGATTGTGGTCATGTGTATGGTTTTTGCAGCCCTAAGGCTTATGGAAATTTTAGGCCACTTCAAAAATAACGTGATATTTCCTGTCATCCCTTCAGGAAAGAGGTTGGGTTTGATTTGCCTTTTTCTGAATAAGGAACTGGGGTGGGAGGCAGGGGGAGCAAAATTTCAGAGATCGGTGTCATTTCAAAATTTGGGTTTGCAGCAAAATATTGTCAAAGGTGCAATGAGTCTATGGGACATGGCATCGCCCGCATGAGAAGGGCAGAGAGAAGATCTCTCTGAAGCCTGAGCAGAGTGCAGACTAGAGATTGGAGATCAATTTTACGGAGCCTGATTCTCCAGCAGAGTAAAGGGATCTCAAAGTCGGAGTCACAGCTGCACCTACTTGAAGGCCCCTTTATGCTGCCAGAGTGGTGGAAAGGGGCCTGGGTGAAGGAGAATTCAGGCTTGTAAGCAACTGAATAGAATGAATTGGACAGCCAAACTCCTAACAGAGTTATCCAGTGGCAATCAGGTACCATTGCATATGGGAATGGGTATAAATTGGGTTGAATGAAGTACTGAATGGGGATAAGCCAACAGGAAAAACTTGGCTCCTACCACCCCTTCACTTTGCCGGAGGGGTCGGAGGTTGGCTCTCAATGCAAATTTCATATTTGGGTCCTATCTCTATAGTGGGCGAAAGCCAAACACGAGGGGCCTGGTTCTCCGCTGGCCCGCTTCTCATGTAATCACTGGCACTGCTGCAAAGTGAGTGTAAAACACTGCTGTTTCATCTGGTAGAGTATCACACTCATATTGCACTGACGTCAACGAGCGAACAAGGGGCCGGGCAGCTGCGAATCGGGGAGCGCAAAATCCAGAGCAGTGTTGGGGTCTGAGCCCACCTCTGGACTTAGGCAGCGAAGCACATGGGGCCAAATCCTCCACTGGTGTAAACTGGAGTCAGTGGAGCCATGCTGAGGCTGTCAGCATTGGGGGGGAGGGGGCTGTGCTAAATGATTTCTCTCCAAACTCAGCATTACTACGACCACTCGTTCCTTTGAGCTTAGCCCAAATTTCCTCCATAGGACATATTTTGTCAGCAACAAATCATACGGTTTTCTGAAATTTTGCACACCAAGGCTAATCCCCCACCCCACCCTCAGTTATACAACCATAAAGCAATATTACTACCCAGAAGCTCACGTGGGGATATAATTGAGGGCACAATTTGGTGTAAACTAGAGCCGGTTGAAAAACAACAACAACCCAAGAGCGACTGTGTTTCGCAGGAGGAAGCAAAGAAAATTGCCTTAACTTCCGCACTGCTGAAAAATCTCATCCATCTGAATCAACAAACTGATTTTTTTTATTTAAAAAAAGTTCCTTTTTTGGGGCCAGAAAATTCCGTTGAAATTTTGAAAACTAAACGTTGACTGGCTTAACCAAAACCAAAACCCAACCTCACAAATTTCAACAGCAATTTGAAACATTTTGACCAGCTCTAGGATAAACATTGTAAAACTTTGAATAACCACGTGGACGGGTAATCTAGAGAGAAATATTTACTTCTTTTAGTGGCTCTCTTCAGAGATATTGCAGGAAAAGAATATATATATATAAATATATATATGGCTACACGGGAGTTCTTAAACTCCTTTTTTTTTTGGTAAATGCCAATTCCCTACATTGCTTAACTATCCCTACTAGCGACAAGGTTTCTAGCGAACGTTTACACGGTTTTGTAACCTGATGGAGTCAAAGAATTGTTTTCAGTTTGCTAAAAGGTTTCAGGTGTGTTTCTTCCCATGCCTATTGTTCCATGCCATTCCCCATTTCATCGTGATGTCGTCCTCTCTTCCCGGTTCATTCCCCCAAACGTTGGGTAGGATTTTGAGAGATCCCGGCCTTTGAAAGCATCTGAAATATATTCTTCGTTGGCCTACAATTCTGTTTGCCCAATAAAATCATGGGGGTGGGGAGCAATGGAGGGAGCTGCCCGATTCCTTCGTGGTCTGTCCGGTTGTCAGCCTTTGCTTCACGTTTGGGTTGGTGTACGACTGTTCGACCACATGGCTTGGTGGCAGTGGGGGTGAGGAGAGGCTGGCAGAGGGATGGCAGAAAGGCAGATCCTGTGCTGGTCAAGACAGGGCTGTGGGAGCCAGGTGCACCTGGCACTTGAGTGGTGGCCTGGTGGCTGCCTCCTGCCCTACACCAAGGACTGCCTCAGTTGTGAAGGGGGAACGGCTCACTGGCAAAATGGCTGCCCTGCACTCGAGTTTAGGTTCCCCAGTCGGGTTTAAGGAGGCCTCATGCCTCACAGGAATAAACTTAAATACTCCCCCCCCCCCCCCCCCCCCCCCCCCCCCCGGCTTCCTCTATACAAGGCTGACACAAGATGAGCCAGTGTAGTGACCCGGGACCTTTAGCACCAAAAGCCTAGGCCTCTATCACTTGAGCAAAAGGAGTATCTCCCTTAGCTGGTAGCAGTAGCAAGCTCTTATCCTCTGTGCGGACCAGCCACTAGAAGGGGACATGGCCGCCTCATCCCGTGTGTTGCAGCAGCTTTGCTGAAAAGGCCAGAGGGCCCGTTCGCGGGGGGGACAGGGTGTAGATCGGCGCTAGCTGCGGCGGGGCCGCTGGTCTCCAACCTGTGCCGGGCTAGAACCCTTGATAGCAGGAGCCAGCGTGCTCTGCTCTGTTGGGGGAAGCTAAGGCTGAATGGGACTTCCTCATGGCAGGAGAGTAAATCAACAGGGCTTACTCCCATGAGGAAAGTGAGCTGGGTTGGGCGCAGAGCCATTCAGAGGGTGCTGAGGTGGAGGGGGGGACTCATCTCTACTGTTATAAAAGGCCAGACTGAAGCTTCGAATCAAGATGGCTTCTCCCTGTGCTAGGACACAGCCCTTGGGGGGCAAAGAGCGAAGGCAGTTTGGGAATGCCCCCCTGCAGCCGTAATAAGATCCTGACTAGCTGTGCGAGGAGAGAGAAGAGTGCTGGATCCTGCATTCCCCCCACCCCCCAAAGCTGCCCTTGGGGGGCGTTGGGAAAGCAGGATGGGGTCAGATCTGGCCAGCTTGCCTTGGTAAGTGGGAGCTGGGCAAGGAATAACCCTGTCCTGGCACCACAGATATCAGAGCGCCTAGAAAATAACATTGCCCTCCTCTCTCTTACATCTTAGCGTGATCCTCAGCTGGGGTAAATCAGTGGCGCTTCATTGGTGAAGCCAATTTGCACCCGTTGAGAGCGAGGCCCAGTATTTTCTTCCTTTCTCACCTGTTTCCATCCTTTCCCCCCCCCCACTTCACTCTCCCTCCTTCCCTCTGTTAAAACCCCCCACCCATGAATTGAGTGTTACGTTCTCGCTACCTCTGTCATCCCCCCTTCCGTCTGAAAACCAGAAGCCATGAACAGTTTGTAGAAGAGGGCCTTTCCTCTGGTTTTTCTTCCTTCTGGAGCGCCAGTCTCCCGGTCTTTCTTCCCTTCTCTCTGATCTTTAACTTGTAGTATTTTACCTGGCTCCTGTAATTGTAAATAGCAAGTTTCAATATGTTAGCAATGGTAACAGTACAGGAAACTGGTTTTTTTTGTTGTATTGATATGAAATGAGATTATATTTTTGTCAGAGTATATTGTAATAATACTGACTTTGGACATGGCCGCAATTGTACAGTTTATTCTTGTTTTACCTTCTCTTGACCTGTCCTTCTTCCTTTCCTTTATCCACAGACCTGCTCCCCCTTCCCCGCCCCTCCCCTGTTTGTTCTATATTGCAGAATTTAAACCCATCCAGGCGACATGCCAGGGTGGATAGAGGGCCGGGAGTTGGCGATGGATTGAGCAAAGAGAGAGCTTGCCACAGAGCCCAGAATGATGATACTTCGTAGAGAAGTCCTGAAAGTCCCAGGGACTGATTCACCCACCCCTTTGCACGTTACACCAGTGCGAAGTCAGGGTGTAAAGCATTAGCTTTGCACGGGTGTCGGTGACAAGGCCAGTTGTGTGTTATAGCTCTCCGGGCTGGGTTGTCTGAGGCATGAACCCGAGACCTTGGGATCTGAAAGAAGGAGTGTCTTACTCCTGGTTGAGCTAGTCTGTGCGCAGTAAAACTCTTAAACTGCTTTAGCCGCTACAGGGGACAGCATCACGCTGCATCAGCACAGGTTAAAGACAGTGAGGAATCAGGACTGTATTTCCCAGTGGCTTTAGCCGGTAGCAAGAGGTCCTCAGATAGAGTAAATGTATTCAGAGCTCTGTTGAAGACAACAGGGCAACGCTGATTTATGCCAGCTGAGCGTCTGGCCTGCTTCTTAATTCTGTGGTTTCTGATGTAATTGTCCCCCTGCTAGTCTGGAAATGGCCCACCTACCAGAGTGACCATCTCAGACACTGAGTTAAGGCTAGATTGGTGGCATTCCAATCCAGGTGTGCCCATTGCTTAGTTTCAGTGTGGCGTTCTGTTCTCTGCTAGAGGTGTCTGGGCCACAGAGAAGTGAATGGCCCTGCCACCACCTTGGCTAAGGGGGTCTTTTAGCTCAAACAGAAGAGGCTCCTGCATTTAAAGCCAGAGATGCCAGGTGTGATCCCCACTGCAAGCAATGAACCACTAGGAAGCAGTATTGGCAAAGGGAGTAAAGGTCACGTCCCCGGTCGTCTTGGGTGAATTTCCCCTCCTGCTCAGAGAGGCCAGCGTGAGCCACTAGAATCCCCTGGAAGCCTTCAACGTCGGTCGGAAGTGATGCCCACGCCTCGCGCTGGCCCCTCTGCGGGTGGGTGAGTTGTACCCCCTCCTCTGTATTCCCCATAAGGGACAGAGAAGCCCTCGCGTGGCGGCAGAAACAGGAATGCTCAGACCTCATTGCCTTGAGCCCGGTGTGGATCTGCACTTTCCCGAAGTATTAGGTGGGTCCGGTTCTGCCCTGTCTCTGTTTAATAAATCTCGCTTTGCTAGCAGAAAGGAAATTGTGTGTGACTGTCCTGGGGAGAGACAATCTTCCCTGCAAAGCTGGGCCGGTTCTTCTGTATCCCCTCTACACGCTATAGGAAGTAGGCCAGATTCCCAGCTGGGGCAGAAATCGGTATAGCTCCGTTGGAGTCAATGGGCCAGATCTTCGGCTGCTGTAACTCAGATAGCTTCTGTGAAAGCAATGGATCTACGCTGATTTACGCTAGCTGCTCCACTGGGCCTCATTTACCCTGAGGCCCCTTTACGCCGTTCTGGCTGGGTAAAAGTGCAGACTTGTCTTTATTGTCCCATTCGAATATTGCTCTCCGATCCTTTCACATCAGTCTCTCCAGCAGAGAAAACAAATCTGAGAGCAAGCCCACAATGACTGAGTGGGATCAAAGGTAGGGAAAGTGATCTGCCAGCCCCTTGTCTACAGGCCTGTTCTCATTTATACTAACACCTGCTCTACTCACAGATTTTGTCCCAGTATAACGATATCAGTTCGGGGGGGGGGGGAGATGAATAGTTTACCGATATAGTTATTCCAGTATAACCCCTAGTGTGTATGCCGTTAAACCGGTATAAAGGTGCCTTGTACTGGGTCGTGTATTCCCCTTCCCATATGGGAATAGCTATACCAATATAAACCCCTTAATGCCAGTATAATTGCATCCACACTTGGGAGGGATTTCTCTCTTTAACTATATTGGTATAAAGTGGAACAGCTTTTGTGTGCCTTAAACCTCTTTCACACAACTGTGGCAGCAGAAAGGAGGTCGTAGTGGGTATAAATTTGTGCCCACTTTAGGGTCCCTTTACCCAGCCAGAATTATGTAAAATTGTAAATGAGAATCTAGACCAGATTCTCCTTAGGAAGGACAAACCAGAAAGCACACTTTCTGGCCATGCTTGGGGCAGTTGCTCTTTGTTTCAGCTCAGCCCAAGACCTCTTCCTCTCCCCCCTCTCCCCCCCAGCCGCCTGTTTCAGAATAGCTTGCGGTTACTGGCATGATGTTAAAAATTCTCAGGATTGTGGCCGCTCTGTGGTTGGTGACCACGCACGCCTATCTCGGATCTCCTCTGGGTGACGTTAACATCAGGTCCTCTTTCCCTCTAGCTCCCCACCCTCCTCGCTCCCTGTAAATCAGATCGATCGGGATAGATGTAGTGTTCTCTGGGCTATGTGCAAAAACCTTTGTAAAATAGAATAAACCCTTTAAATTATGCACTAAAGAAACAAAGCAAAACCCCAACATATATATATTGTGGTGAGTCGAATTGCCTACAAGTTCAGCCCGCCTATATTGTCACAGGACGCTTTCATTTTCCCGCCCGTGATGGTGCAGCAAATGTACAAAAAATTGTGCACTTCCCTTTATTAGTTTTATTTATTGTTTAGAAAGGCAATTTTAAAAAGCTATACTCTGTATCTATAAGTATACATATATATATATATATATTTTTAACCTCTTCCTTCCCACGCCCCACATCCCGCCCCCCCAATGCTCCCTCCCCTTTTTTGTGTGTGAATTAAGGGATTCTGTTCTCTTGGGTGGCAGCAGATCAGTTTAAAACAAAAAAAAAAATCCATGCTCTTCGTGTAGGAGAGATATGGGGGAAAGGGTAATTTTTCTGGGGTGTTGCCCCTCTTTGATTCATCTGGATCGTTGGGATACTATCGATCTATTGAAAGCAAGAAAGCAGTAGAGAAGTGGATACATGCGAGTAACTTGTAAATTTCCATCCAGGATCTTTGGCTAGGTCCATCTTTCTCTAGGCATTTGCATCCCTGGGGTCTGGCCTTCTATATTAATCTCCCAGCCCCTGGGAGCTCTTTCTTGGTACATCCTTGCTTTCTTATCCCCAGTCCTGTCCCTTCCCACCCCCACCCATCCCACCCCACCCCCCTTGACAATCAGTGGCTCCTTCCCAGGGATGGCAGCACGTCAGTGAGATGTCCGTTTTGTTTTTTCAATATTCCTTTCTTTGTGCTGTATGGTGATGCGTTATTGTATATTACACGATAAGAAAAAGAGATAAAAAAAAATTACCATGAAAAATTCTGATGAGTTTTGTTTGGAAACTCTTTCACTATATTTGTTGTAAAGAGGTTTACTATTAAAAAGAAAAAAAATACACGTTTCTGATAACTTTCCTCGCCTCTGGTTATTTCCCCCCCCCACCCCTTCTCTCTGAGTGTGACTGTGTGAATGCTAGAGCTGAGGGGGGAATTTTCTCATTTGGAAATTCGAAATTCACTGGGAGGAGGCAGAGGAGCATTTCAGTGACATGTTTGCCAATTCGTTACCTTTTTTTCCGGTCAGCTATAGAGCGGATCACTTTTATTTTTTCTTAAATCTTGATGGAATTTCAAAATTGGGGGGGGGGGGAAACCAACAAAATCTGAGGGGGAAAATAGTCAAATTGCGGGGTGTGATTTTCTTCCCCTTTTCAACCAGCTTCACCATGGGATCACCATCTTCTAGCTCAGTAAAACAGCTGGAAGGGAGTAATATAAAATAACATAAAAATAATATATGGAGATATACCTATCTCCTAGAACTGGAAGGGACCTTGAAAGGTCTTTGAGTCCAGCCCCCTGCCTTCACTAGCAGGACCAAGTACTGTCCCTGACAGATTTTTGCCCCAGATCCCTAAATGGCCCCCTCAAGGATTGAACTTAACCCTGGGTTTGGCAGGCCAACGCTCAAACCACTGAGCTATCCCTCGCCCGCCTGGAAGGATGGTCCAGGGCAGGGGTGGCCAACCTGTGGCTCCGGAGCCTCATGCGGCTCTTCAGAAGTTAATATGCGGCTCCTTGTCTAGGCACCAACTCTGGGACTGGAGCTACAGGCGCCAACTTTCCAATGTGCCAGGGGGTGCTCACTGCTCAACCCCTGGCTCTGCCCCCACTTCACCCCTTCCCGCCCCCTCCCCTGAGCCTGCCGTGCCCTCGCTCCTCCCTCCCCCCCCCCGAGCCTCCTGCACGCGATGAAACAGCTGATCGGGAGGTGCGGGGAGTGAGGGGGAGGCGCTGATCGGTGGGGCTGCCGGTGGGTGGGAGGCACTGGGAGGGAACTGATGGGGGCTGCTGATGTATAACTGTGGCTCTTTGGAAATGTACATTGGTAAATTCTGGCTCCTTCTCAGGCTCAGGTTGGCTACCCCGGTCCAGCAGTTAAGGTGCTAAAATACCTCAAACGTATTTAGGATCTGGGCTTTTTAATCGTCAGTTCCCCATCTGTAAATTGGGGATACCAGCACTTCACTGTTGTGTTCTGAGGATAAACGCATTAAAGGTGGTGAGGTGCTCAACTACTACAATAATGGGCCATATAAGGCCCTGGCATATGTAGCGGGCACTAATCCAGGACATATGGACTAATGGGTGGGTTTTGGATCAGATTCTAGAGTTGATTGGAAAGGGTTGTTTGTTTGTTTTGTTTTTAATTTTGCACTAAATTCTAAAGATTTTTTGGTCGTGTGGTTTTTGAAAGGGGCCGCATTTTAGTGTTTTCAAAGACTTTGTACACAGAATTACTTGTATTTTTCATTAAAAGCAACTTTTTGATTTCAGAATGGGAAAAGGTTCACACTTTGGGGGGACAGATCCCATTCTGCGACGAAGCTAAGTTCTTAGTATTGGTGATACCACCATAAAAGGGGAAGTGAAAACCATCAACGCAACCAACCAATCAACGAACCACAAGGCCTGATTCTCATTTATGTGAAGGCTCTTTTCGCCCACTGTAGCAGTGCAAAGGGGCCTTAAAGTGAGTGTAATTTACACTCACCGATGGTTCCTTTATATGGCCACAGCAGGGTAAAGGGGCCTCTATGTAAATGAGAATCACGCCCAGAAACCAAAGAACAAACACGATTTTGCATCAGAAGTTTCCGCTGAAAAGTTTTGAAAACTTTGTATTTTAAAAAAAAAAACATTTTAAGGTGGGTTTTTTTTTGATGAACTAATTTGTTCCAAAGGACACTGACAAGCTCTGTTCAGCACCTTGCAGGACTGGGCTTGTGACTGGCTCCCACCCTACGTGAGAAGGCAGCTGCATTCTGCACTAGCTTCTGGGTGTTCGTGAAGCGGTCGGTTGTATTTGCACCAGCCTGCCCAGATCCCCCCTGCTCTGGGTTCGTGCCCCAGAGTGCACTGCCAGGAAATAACTGGGAGCTACATTCTGCTCCGGGCCATTTATCTGTTTGCATCGGTCTAACGGACCTTTGGTTGCATTTAAATACTAGAGAAACAAACGCCTAACTGGGCAGAGCGGTTGTACAGGTGTGTGTTTGTACAACTCGTCCCTAGTGGGGTGACATGGGGGGGGGCATGCTGGGTCACGTGCCCTCCCCCCCAGACTTGCTGCTTGGCTTGCACTGAGCATGCTCACATGGACTGAGCATGCCCAGTAATACTGCTGAAGCTGGCTGCCCTCACTTTGCCCCCCCCCCCCACTATCAGTAGGCACGGGTCATTTCTGTCTAGTGGCTGGGCCGAGCAATTGTACGTGTGTGTGTATGTACACCTCATCCGCTAGTGGCTGGATTGAGCAATTGTACAGGACTGTGTGTGTGTGCATTTACCCTGCCCTCTCCCCCTTGGCTGGTGCACAGAAGAGCAATGAAAGACCTATCACTGCTCCAATCTCTTCTAATTCATGCAGCAGAAGAATTGCTGCAGCCAAAGATATCGAGGTTCTCACCCCACTGCTGAGCGGGGTGTTTGCACATCTGTGCAGCACAGAGTTTTGTCCTGCAGGGCCAGGTTCCCGCTGATAAACCGAATGCACTACCTGTCACGCTTTACAAAAGCTGTCAGTATCATCATCCGCATTTTACAGACAGGGAAGTGACTGGTGCAAGATCACCCAGCAGCAGAACCAGGCGGAGAATTCAGGTCTCTGAGACCTTGATCCTCCAGGCCACCCACTTGCTCTCTGGTGCAGGGGCACGGGCATTGTCTCTCTGGGACGCCAGGAGCCACACGACCCAGCACTAATACAGAGCACAAACGGTCCAGCCTGTTTTGTTCCAGGCCTGGTGCTGCTTCCGAAACAGAAGCTTCACAGGCCTAGGGATGGTCAACGTTTTTCCATCTGAACTGTTTTTAGATAGAAAATTAGGGTTTCAGATACATTAAAAATGTTTGCAACAAGTGTCTGTTTTCTGTAAGAAAATCTGGATTCTTTTAGGTCCAAAAAAGGCCACCCAAACCAAAAACGTTTCCATTTTCGGCCAAAATCTGAAATATTTCAGCTGAAAAACACAATATTTCGATTCTGAAATGCCACCACGCTGCCTAATCAGAGTGGTAGGGTTTTTTGGGGGGGCGCGGGGGTGGGAGGGGCTCATGCCTCCATTCTCCTCTCGACTGGAGCTGGGTGAATACTGGAAAAATTGGGGAAAAGCCTGTCTCATGTTCCGCAAACCTTTCATTTGACCCAGTAGAGATCTGAGCTGTTTGATTCAGGATTCACATGGGTGCTAGATGGTTGGAGGTGGCTTTTGATACTGCCACACTCTGTGCTATTTCTTTCTTTCTTTCTTTTCTTTTGAAAACAGAGGATTTCCTTTTCCTATCTGCTCTTGGTTGCACTAAATTCACTTTCTGTAAAAGCAAAACAAACCAAAAAACAAACCAGGCCAAAAAACTCCACTGATATTGTAACAACAGCTAGTTTGAGTCATGTGCCCCCACTGACAACAACTTGGAGTAATTCTTCCTTTCAGCCACAAGGTGGCACCAGGTAGCAACACAATGGGTGAAAGCTAAACAGAAAGGACAAGTGCTGAAAGGTCTGTAGTTGAGGCATCAGACTGGGATGCAGGACACCTGGGTCCAGTTCCCAGCTCTGTCAGCAGACTCATAAACTCATAGACTTTAAGGTCAGAAGGGACCATTATGGTCATCTAGTCTGACCTCCTGCATGATGCAGGCCACAAAAGCTGACCCACCCACTTTCCCTTAACTCAGCTGTTGAAGTCTCCAGATCGTGATTTAAAGACTTCAAGTTGCAGAGAATCCTCCAGCTTGCGACCCCTGCCCTATGCTGCGGAGGAAGGCGAAAAACCTCCAGGGCCTCTGCCAATCTACCCTGGAGGAAAATTCCTTCCCGACCCCAAATATGGCGATCAGTAGAACCCCGAGCATGCGGGCAAGATTCTCCAGCCGGACCCTCATTTTACCAGCGATGGCACGTTATTGCCTCCCTGCATGACCTTGGGCAAGTCACTTAAGCTAAAATTTTCAAAGGTGCCTCAGGGCCATAACAGCTTAAATTCCATTAACTTTCAATGAGACGTAGGCGTTTTTGAAGACTGAACTCTCTGTGTGCCTCAGTTCCCCCCCTGTAAAACGGGAAGAATAATCCTTCCTTGGCCTGTCTTTCCTATTTAGACTATAAATTCTCTGGGGCAGGCACTGCCTCTTGCTATGTGTATGTACAGCGCCTCGCACAGTGGGCCTGTGATCGCTAGGCACAACAATACTAGAAATATTTACAACACTAAAGAGGATTACACTGAGACCTGCGTCCTGTGTATGACACACGATTTCCCTTTGACAGCCACGATCCCGTGTCTGTAACGTTCTGTCCTCGCGTCTGGATAGCAGCAGAGCGTCCCGGCAGCCGTCCCTTTCTCCAGCGAACGTGCCAGATGATGCTTCTTTAACCGGTTGGTAACTTTGGGTAGGACTTTGGGCAGGAAGCTGAACCAATCTAGGACATCTTTCCCAGTGAATTGTAGGGGAACTTTTCTGTCCTTTCTGGGTGCACAGGGGGAATTGTGGGAAGGCACTGGAGGACTAGCTGCACTCCAGGGTCAGGGTGCTGGGACTTTGAGTTAGGGGCAACATTCACTTGCAATCAATGGCCTTTAGGCACGTGGCGCTTTTGAAACTCCCACGAGGCGTCTGTCTGCATCTTTAAAAATCGGATCCTACGCAGCTCATAGAATTGTTTCTATAGAGACGCCTGGTTGGAAAAGCACCGGCAGGTTCTGCACCTGAAAAGCCCAGGTCCGTTCACAAGGAGATTCCACCTTGTGCCCATTTTGCAGATCTTAGGCCAGGGCCGCCCAGGCGGGAGCGGGGGCGGCAAGTGGGGCAATTTGCCCCAGGCCCCCACGAGAATATAGTATTCTA